GTAGTCTGCTCGAGTCCACCTCTGCGCGGCTTGCCCGCTTGAGTCGTGCCCCTCGGTCGCAGTCTGCCCGAGTCCACCTCTGCGCGGCCTGCCCGCATAAGCCGTGCCCCTCGGCTGCAGTCTTCCAAGCCCACCTCTGTGCGGCCTGCCTGCCTAGGTCGTGCACCTCGGCCACGGACTGCTCGAGTCCACCTCTACGTGGTCTGCCCGCCTAAGCCGCATACCTCGGTCGCAAACTGCATGATTCCTATGCCTCGGCGCCACCTGCTCGCCCGAGTCTTCTGCCTTGCTCAAATCATACCCCACGGTCACACGTCGCATAGGACGACGGGCCAGCAACCGACCATCGCGACCCTCTAGGAAACCTCCCCGGCACTGACCAGAGGGCAAATTGGCAGGAACAACCACTTAAAGCAGAAGCCACGCCTCGGACCCCCTATCAACAGTCGATGCATGGCTCCCGTCCGGGGGGGGGGGGGGGGAATGATGAGGGTAATAATAATGATGGGACACGAACTAACGTCATCTGCTCCCGGGTGACGTCTCCTAGGTCACGCAGACCGAGGAGTTACGGGGGTTGCCTGCCCCGGTCTGACCTGACAGCGCCCGGCCGAAGCAAACCAAAACGCCGACCGAGGCACGTCACCATCCTGTAGGAGCCCGGTCCTTCACACAACGCTAATGCCGGTGTCAGACGTTATCCAAGGTACGACCCTGCTCCCTGCAAGCGGGCACATCAGGAAACGGTGACCTTTCCTATAAAAACTCTTGTGTTCGGAACGAAGAGGGAGGGAGAAAAAAAAAACCCCTGAGACTATCGACTGACTTGATCGTCGAAGGGGTCAGGCCGAGCTCTCCCGACCCGACCTGTGTGCAGGGACGAAGACGGAGTGCCTCCCACCGAAGGCCCAGGCGAGGGGTCCCCTCCTGGAGAAAACAGTGACCCCGTCGCGATCGGACCACCGCGGTCGGCTACATCAGCAGTCTCAAGGGTCATTCAGGAAGATCTCCAATCATTCGGACCCAAACCCAATCGTATTCGAGGCCACGGCGTAAAGATGTTACACTAACACCCTCTGCCCATTGTCATTCCCAATATGATGTAGTGGTAGGGTGTTATTTTCCATTTCTTTTGGTATCCGATCTACCCATCCGTAGATACCCGTGTAGCTGGTTATTAGGGTTTGGGTTCGGTTGAAATTGGGAAACACCGACCCGCTGCCATCCCTGCCATTTAGGTTAATTACCAGGAGCGATGACAAAGCCTCTCCCGTAAATTCTACATCAAAATCTCTACTTAAATTTGGCGTCGTTCTTCGCAAGCGCATTAATGTCAAGTAATAAGTAAATTCGCAATTCAGTCCAAAACCGAAACCTTTACTTCGGAGCTCCCTCGAACAGATCATAATCAGATTCTTCATTACAGTCTCCAATAGCAACAGACGCCTACAACTAAACCAACAACGGATCTACAGCAAAGGAAGCGCCTGCCATCAGATGAAAAGATTGCAGTTGACAGACAATAATTCCTCGAATCCGGAGACCAAAAAAGCAAGAACCAAAATAGATCGGGAAAGATGCGTCTCAGATCATCAAAAGGTAACCGGAGCGAAAAGAAGGATTCGCACCTCGGATGGGGTGGGGGTTTTCTCCGGGACGGCGTCCGCCATAACCAGTGACTCGATCACTCGAAGACGGCGGCGTTCAGCCCACAACACTCGAGGCGCGCGAGAGAGAGAGAGAGAGAGAGATAAGGGACAAGTACACCTACCGGTTTAATTGGAGGGTTGGAGAAGCATCTCCACGATTCCAGCGAACCAACCAAATTTGACGGCCTTTGGTGGGGCCCAGACCACCTGCTTCCACCCCACACCATTAACCACCCGGGTGAGTTAAGCGGGCGCGTCTGGCGGAGGACACGTGCCTCGTGTCCCCACACAAAATGTACATATAATGCACGTGAAGGTTCTCCCGCACACATCACCCTCGAAATCTCTCAGGGACGATGTGGCATCCGAGGTGAAACGGTGGACCCCGCTGCCACCACCATTTCAATTGGATACGTCGATGGCGATCTGAAGTGGCTCAAGAATGAAATCACAGTAACGTACTCCTTTTGTGGTTTCTAAGTACATATCAAATGAACACGAATAAATGGATCACCCTTCCATTATTCTTAAACATCACAAGGAATGTTCAAGTAAAGTTATTGCTTTTTTTTATTACAAACCAGAAGAAAAGAACACACTTTGAAAGGCCTCTCTCTATGTGAGACTCTTCCCTTTGATATCTTCTTTACCTATCCATCCATATGATGCACCTGAGACTCTTCCCTGCCATCAGCAGCTCAAAAGCTTTGTTTATGTCATGAAAGCCAACCTCATGTGTTATGAACTCATCCAGGTGAAGCTCCTGTGACCACAAAGGAGCAGCTTGGCATCAGATGGTCAAACAAACATGGAGGCATAAACTCGAAGCTGGTGATTTGAAGCAAACCTTATTAAGGTATCGGTTCATCAGTATTGGAATGTCGGTTTTCGGCTTGATTCCCCCAAGCAATGAGCCAATGATGGATTTTCCTTGCAAGATCTCCAAGGTGCTTATGCTCATTGGTGAGAGATGCATTTCCAACCCAAGAATGATCGTCTTGCCCCAACCCTGCACGCCACAGTATAGAAGAGCCAAGTCTATTCAACTGTTGGTGTTCAAAGAGAAGGGGGAGAAGAGCCAACCGGTCGACAGCTTTGGAATGCATCTTGCATCAGTGATGCTAAGCCGATGCACTCAAAGCAATAATCTGCACCTCCACCGGTCATTTCCTTGATCACCTGTCGGAGCATGGATTAGAAGAGAATTATAAGATGTAGGTAATCTTGATACATGTTGTTCTAAAGCAAATAATCCCTGAATTGCTTAGATGAAGAAAAAGAACAGCGTTACAACCTCACTGACAGATCGCTCTCCGATGTCCTTTGGGTTTACGAAATCAGTGATCCCAAACTTCTTCCCTAGAAGACACAGGAAACCATGCACTCATATATCTTTTTCTTTTGATGCAGTACTCTAGAAAATGCCAATAAAGCCATAACTATATGAACAATAGACAGCTTGGGTATGATTCACAGTACACCTTTTCTTTGAGCAGAAGGTGAAATTTCTCATCAAAACAAATAAATCAGTCCTATAATTAGCAGCTGCATGGACTCAGGAACAGCTAACGATACACTCTATTCGCATGTGTGCATGCTTGCTCTGCAATTTGACAAGAGGCTTTGAATCTAAAGCATGTAGATGTTCTACAATGAATTCTACTGTCCATATCAAATGGAGGTAAAGAGGCCATTGCCCCTAATCTGATGAGATGACTGGAATCAACACTTGGAGAGGAGAGGCTTTTAAAGAAGAAAGCACACACAGATAGATTCATTAGGAGCTCTGAGTAGGCCTTACCGATCTCAAACTTGTCAGGGTTCAGATCAACACCTATAATCCTGCCTGCACCTTGCAGCCTCGCCCCTTCTGCAACCTGTAAGTCAAGATAAGTGCAGTGCTCATCATCTGTAGAGATTGAAACTGAGTGATAGACAGACACTTCATCAGCGGAGGAGAGGCCTCAGTAAGTAGTAATTCATCCTTTTGCCCGTGTAATCAATTCCCATAAACAATTTGGTATGCATAAAATCTAAATAAAGCTCTTAGTGGATCCACAGATAACCCCTAACGCATGAGAATTCATGTTCATTGACATTCTCAATCAATACCTTGAGGTCAAGTTTATATAATTACTGAATACAGAAGTGACAATAATTATTTGAGTGAATGATAAATAAATGAAATGTTAATTACCGCCAATCCGACAGATCCAAGTCCAAAGACAGCCACCGTAGATTTAGGCTCCACAGCAGCCGCCTTCCAAGCAGCCCCCACTCCTGTGTCATAGTTCACATGAACTCCATCAGCTAGCAATAAATAATCTCACAAGGAGGACCAAATAAAATAATCTCAGCATGCATTACTGTAGAGAGAATCCAAGTAAGGTCTTCTGGATCCAGAACTGAAGAACAGATTTTTGCTAGCAGACAACCCAACTTATCATTTTTCTTTCTTTGTACTTTGATTGGGGAATCAAATGGTAGTATTGGTGCTGGCAGATGCTGGTCCAGATTTTTCCTTGGTCTTCTTTCAGGAGATCAGATAGGTGCACCTAAAGTCAATAGTAGTAGGTGTAGATGTTGGGCTCGAACGTTTGGTTCATCTAATTCAAATCCAACAAGTCTTAATCGAGTCGATTACGAGTTAGTTACGAGCTATTTAGTTCAATTGAATCAGATAAGATAATATCAATATTCAACGGTGGTCTTATCGTAGGAATAGATTCAACATTCAACTAATTTTATTATTTATAAATTATAATATTATTAATTAATTTCGATAATATTTTATTTTAAAAAAAATATAAAAAAATAAACTAATTACGAGAATACAAACAAACTAATGGGTTCACCTCACCTAAAGATCCACCACTCAGTCCAAATGAAAAATAAAAGATAGAAAAAAATATATAGTGAGAAATGGTGAATGGGGGATGAGAGAGGAATAGAAGCGGATTAGAGGATAAGGAACGATAGGGGACACAAATAAATGCCGCTTCATCCCGTTCACATCCCTAAAACAATGTACATAAAATGTCCACTTTCTTGTTTGGTAGCTTTGGTTTTGTACGTCAGACTGCGGGTGGCTGGCTCGTCTTTATCAACTGGCCCAACCCATGGCAAGTATGTCTCCCTAGACATCTCAGCTGATAAAGTTTCCTTTGAAGGTACCTCATACTGACGTTTACCTAATGCATAGAAATATCCAATGGGAACATCTGTCATCTGTCTGATTCGAGACAAGTGACAGTAAAATCCAACACGGTGTAGCTCTCAAGCTCCGGCAGATGCTACAGAGATTTTGGTTTGCACAGAACTGGATTGACGTCAGCATTGATTAGCGGTATCATGATATCGGAATGTCAAACCGTAGACGAAGGAAACTTGCATTCAGGGAGGTCAACCATGGCATGGTAAATGGGTTTTGCAGGATTGTATGACCTAATCATGGTTATTAATTTGCTCACCGGTGGAGACGCCGCAGCTGAGGAGGCAGGCCTTCTCGGGCGGCATGGCGGCAGCCACCTTGACGACGCGGGTGACGTCCACGACGGTGTACTCGCTGAAGCTGGAGACGTTGAGGAAGTGCTGCACCGGCGCCCCGGAGGCGTCGGTGAACCGGGAGGTGCCGTCCCGCGGCATCACCCCGTCCAACAGTCCGAGCGGCACCCCCGTGCACACGTTGCTCCGCACCGACCGGCAGTCGACGCAATCGCCGCAGTGCGCCAGGCAGAACGGCAGCACCATGTCGCCCACGCTGACCTCCTCCACATGCTCCCCCACGCTCTCCACCACCCTGAACGTGGCATCGACAGACAAATCAATCCATCGCGTCCTGCCGCCGCCGTCCGATGAACTGATATCAAATGCAACGAAGCGCTTACCCGACGGCTTCGTGGCCGAAAATTTTGGGGAAGCCAGCGGGATCCTGCGGCGACGAGAGAAGACGAAGGTGAGGGGGAAAGTCGATGCAGGAACGCAAGGGATGGGGCTTACCTTGATGCTCCAGATGGTGACGTCGCTGTGGCAAAGGGAGGTGCAGATGATCTTGATGCGGACTTCGTAGGCTTTGGGCGGCGCCACCACCACC